TGTTTGGGGGCTGCTGCTTTTATTTCCTACTCCACCCTGGACTCCATCATCAGTGCGAGACGTCTCAGCGAGGGAAATCTACCGGCTGGTGGGAAGCTGGAGAAGAGTCATCTCAACTCCAGGGTGGTGAGTGGGGCCGTCGGAGACGGGAGACCCATTCACCTCTCCAGACCCGCAAACTTCACCCTGCGCCACAGACAGGTGCGTGAAGGAAGAGCCTCTCGCTTTGCTCCATATCTGGGGCTCCAGAGGGGCCTATAGAAGGCACCATCTCCTGCCGGGCATTTGGACCATGCTGCCTTTCTGGCTATCGATGGTCCTGAGAAGAGGAGGCCTCCTTATTCCTGATGAGTTGGGGCTGTTTTCCTGGAGGAGGTTACCGGGAGTCACACCACGACACATGGCTGTGCAAAGTGCTCTAGGGTAACAGCTCCGCTTAGCTCACCCCTGAGCCAGAATAATTGGAAAGCCACTTTCTATTGATAGTGGAGTTCAGGAAATCAGCATGAAACACTGATTTGGTAATGAAGTTTTTACAGTGCATATGTGTATGTGTGAACAGAGCACTGCCCTCTGTTGGATGCAGTCAGAACTGCTCAGCCATGTGCCACGTTCCTTATAGTGCTAACAGCTAGCAAGGGTTTATTTCCCTTTTGCTCCAATAGCAGGGCCTGTGCTTTTGGAGCAGTGGGTTCTCCGTTCTCTCTCTTCTGTCACCGGGATGGCCCCAGTGGGCACTGGGGGCTGCGTGGGGAGAGCCGTGGAGCTGTAGGTGACCCCAGGTTTGCTATAGACTTGTGATAACAGAAATGATGTTCTGTGGTCCTGTGAGATGATTCTGTTGTGTTTCTAGGCCAAAAAAGAGGAGGACGAGGCTCTCTGTGTCTACTGGAAAGTAGTGGCTGAGAACGGGAGCTGGTCTCCAGACGGCTGCACTGCCGTGCACACGAACAGCACTCACACCACCTGCAGCTGTGACCTTCTCTCCAGTGTGGCCGTCCTAATGGCTCCCACCACAGTGACGGTATCTCACCGTGAGACTCGGATCACAGGGCTGGAGCTTGAGCTCCGTTTTCAGCCATGAGCAAAGCTCTCCCTGGAGCGACTTGGGGCTTTGCTGGGGAAAAGGCTCAGTTAGAACCGAGAGGGCTGGGCTGGGGTCACTGGTGATTCTCCCTTTGCTGTTTTACAGGAGAATTACCCACTGACCATCATCACCTACGTGGGACTGACCCTCTCCCTGCTGTGCCTCTTCCTCGCCATCCTCACCTTCCTCCTGTGCCGCTCCATCCGCAACGTCAGCACCTCCCTCCACCTGCAGCTCTGCCTCTGCCTTTTCATGGCTGACCTGCTCTTCCCCACAACGGAGACCCAGATCTGCAGTGAGGTAGGGCCTGATTCTCCCCTGCTCTGTTCCTCCACTCGCAGCAGGGCTGGGGTGTGTGGCTTTGAACCCCTTTGTGATCCCTGGATTCTGGGCTGTGCAGGAAACTGTAGGGATTACTGGAGGGATATTTCCACCCCGTTTGCCCCCTTCACACTGGGCACAGTTGCCTGAGTGTCGCCAACCCCTGGAGTTCAGCCAGTTCTATCCCTATGTCACAGTCTCCCTGTGCCTCGATTCCTCTCCTACGTGACTTGCCCATGGTCACCCAGGGACTCTGTGGCAGGGCTGGGAATAGAACCTGGATCCCCTGAGCCCTTCTCCCCTGCTCTAACCACTAATCTCTGCTCCCTTCCTGCATCAGCAATGTGCACCCACAGGACCCTCCATAGACTGAGGAACCTGCCGTCTCTGGGTCATGGAGATCTATAACTGGAGACCTGTCCTAGCAAGAATCCCGGTGTGACCCCCCCGCAACAAGTCTCCCCCATTACTCAGCATTTCCCTTCCCCACCGCAGTGTCCCTGGGCTCTCTGTCTACCCCAGGTTGCATGTGCTGTCATTGCTGGGCTCCTACACTACCTCTTCCTGGCCTGCTTCTCCTGGATGTTCCTGGAGGGGCTGCACCTCTTCCTCACCTCCTGGAACCTGAAGGTTGTGAATTACACCAGCGCCAGCTGGTTCAAGAAGAGATTCATGTACCCGTTCGGCTACGGATTCCCAGCCCTGGTGGTGGCTATTTCTGCAGTGGTGAATCCTGAAGGCTACGGAACTTCCAAACAGTACGTGTAGCGTCCATCCCAAAGGGGAGCTGGGATGTGACTCCCATACTGTTGTCCAGCTCACCCCAGGTCTGACTGAACCTAAATTTCCCTGCTCAGTCTGCCTGGTAGCTGAATGTCCCCCTGGGACCCTTCCCATCCCCAAGGACACTAAGCTGCCCCAAGCGCTGTAGTTGAGTTGCCCACCTGACATCTGCACTCCTCACCCCACTGAGGTTGCAGAAGAACAAGCCAGAAAGATCCCAGCTTGACTCCCAGCTCCCAGGCTGGGTTGTGGGGCTGGTGGGCAGGAAACAAATGCACCTTCTTCCTGTGTGCAAATCCCCGAGGATCCCCTCTCTAAAGTGAGCGACTCACTAAAACAGGGCGTGGCGTGTTCTAGACACCCCAGGCTAGATCCTCAGCTGGTGTAAATCAGGGTAGCTCCACTTCCTTCAGTGCAGCCAGGCCAATGTCCATCTGCCACATGTCTGGCCCTCCAGCAATACTGCGCCCATCCACCAGAAAGGGTCATTTGAGGAGGTGGAAGAGGAAGTGGTGGCTGAAAGCAGGAGATGCTGAGGTTCATGGCGAGGGCTGTTTACCTGCTGCCCACAAGAGAGTCGGCCATGTCACAGGCAGGCTGAGATCCATCTCGCTTTTGAGAGCCAGCTGCCCTGTGATCCCCCCTCTCTGCCCCCGGGGCTGAAAAAGGGCAGTGATCCCATTAACGTCACCTTCTTCTTCCTCCCTCCCTCTAGCTGCTGGCTAAGCCTGGAGAGAGGCTTTCGTTGGAGCTTCCTGGGTCCAGTCTGTGCCATAATCCTGGTGGGTACCTCCCAGAACCACAGGGCCCCATTCTCCTCTCACCTCTGCCACCCCATTGATTTCAGTGGAGAGGAGGAGAACGTGGCCCATAAAACACAAGGAAAGACCCAGTTATGTCCCACCTGGCTCATCTGCTGTGGTCAGTCCTGGGATGAGTCCCTGTGCTGTATCCCCCGGCCTACAGCCTTTACTCGGGCACAGCTCCCATGGACGTCAGTAGGAGTTTTGCCAAGTGAAGACAGCAAGAGTTTGATCCAGTCTAGTTAATGACCCAAGGAATGAGGACGGGAGAGGGCTACACTCTGAAGTGGCTTTTATAGGGGTGGAAACAAGTGTCCCTACATATTCCTCCCTACCCCCTGGGGAATTTGGTGGGACAGGGAATTTGTTACAGCCTGAAAGTGGCAGGAAGTATTCTAGAGGCAGGACCTGGAATCTCTGAGCCAGATCCTGCTCTCAGTTACACCAGTGTAAACCCAAAATAACTACTAACTCCACTGGAGAGGCTCCATATTTAACTGTGAGCAGCATCTGGGCTCTGTGATCCCATTGATCCATCTCAGCCCTGGCTGTGCTGTCAATTCCATGCCTGGGGAGGGACCGAGAGCTGCCAGGGGATATTACAGGAGAGGGGATGATTCCCACCAGAAATGAGCAGTCACCGGTTCTGCAGTGTTCAGATCTGTCTCCTGGGATCGTTCTCTGCCTCAGCTGGAGTTACCGGCCCTGGATGGGATGTTTTACAGGAAATATTTCCCACTGTACCCACAGATAAATATAACGTTCTTTGCCTTGACCCTGTGGATCCTGAGAAACAGACTCTCCTCCCTCAATGCAGATGTGTCCACCCTCAGAGACCACAGGTGAGAAGTCAATGAAAAAATCCGGGAGGGTCAGATGCCTTGGTTTGGAAGGTCCTTGGCACCGGGAGATTGAGAGGTATTGCAGGAGGGGAACAGTATATCTAGGATCCATGGGGATGAATTCCCAGTGTGTTTGCATTGACAATAACCCTGTCCCACATAGGAAAGCCAGGGACAATAGCTCCACCCTACTCTGCCCGGATCCTTCTGACCCAATTGCTCTCCATAGGGTTATTGTAACGGGATCTCTCCATATGCCTTTACCCAGGTTACTGACCTTTAAAGCCATCGCCCAGCTCTTCCTTCTGGGCTGCACATGGAGCCTTGGTCTCCTCCAAGTCGACCCAGCAGCCACAGTCATGGCATATTTATTCACCATCGTCAACAGCCTGCAGGGAGCCTTCATCTTCCTGGTGCACTGTCTCCTCAATCGCCAGGTAATGCCTGTGCCTGTCAGCGCCCACCCAGCACCTTCACCGGCCTCGCGGTGGCCATGTCTGAGCTTCTCAAAGTTAGTTACATAGTGCAGTGACCATGTCCCTCACTCTCCAGGTGAGAGAGGAGTACAGGAGATGGATCAAGAGATTCCGAATGTTCAGCACAAACTCTCAGACATACGATCTATCCATGTCTGCTATCCCCACCACCAGCACCAACACGGTAAGAGGTCCTCTGCTCTGTTCCAGTATCAGCCTGTGAAACAGTCATCTCTAGCTGGGTCTCATCACTGCTGTAAAGGTGCTTTGCCCCTCCAAATGATGCAGGATTGGTTATGAGCCAGCTGGGAATATCCCTGCAAGTGTTAGTGAGAGTTGGTCCCGATCGAGGAGTATCCTAGATGTCTTAGGCACCAGAACAGAATGCCCTGTCCTGGCACCTCCACGTTCCCTTCCCTTGGCTCTCCTGGGAGCTCCAGGAGTCACTCACTCTGGGCTAGGCAGGCATTGGCTCTTGCAGTGTAATGATCTGAATAGATCAGATTGTCCCCTGGGATTGAAACCTTGTCAGTGCAGACAGATCATCTCCAATGAGCAGTCAGCACCGTGAAGAATTTCCCTTGGCTCCATTATCCCTATGGGTCAGGCTCCAGGGGCTGTGTGTGTCTCCTCCCAGAGACAACCCACCATTACACTCTCAGTGGCTTTGGAATCTATTGTTATTTTTCTGCTTTTCTTGCCAGCTTGCCTTCTGCCAGGGGGAGTTGGCTAAGACATTTTTAGTAAAAATCACGGAGAGATCACGTTCAATAAACAAAAATTCACTGAAGGCTGAGACCTGTCCTGGGTTTGACTAAAAATATGCTGACAAAATTAGGAGGCGGGTTCAGCTCAGCACCCAGTGCTGAAGGCGCTCCGCAGTACCCCACCACTGCTGCAGTGAGTGGGAGCTTTGAGGTCCTGCACTCCCCATGGTGGCTGAACAGCTGTGGGGGGTCCTCCCACCTGTGGCAGCAGGGAGCTCTGGGGAATTCCCCACCACCTGCATCAAGTGGGAGCTCTAGGGTCCCCCATTGCCCAAGGGGGATGGTCTGCTATGTGGTCACCTCACACCCCGCAGCAGCTGAGAGCTCCAGGAGGTTCCTCCCTCTGCCCACCATGGCTGCGCAATTGCAGTGTCCCCCCGTCCAGGGCGGAGATTGGGAGCTGAGGGGAAGGCCAGATGGGAGCTCCAGCCCCAGGGCAGAAAATGTCATGGGCCACTTGGACCGGTCTGGGAAGGGCACAGCCAGGGGGGAGCTTTACATCGATATCCTGGAGGAGGAAGGGGGCGGAGACAGTGGGATCGGTGGGAAGGGGGTCACCTCTCCGCTGTGGGAGAGCCAGAGGCCGGATTCGGGGCGCGGCAGATTCAGGGGGTGGCATGGAGGGCTCAGCCCCTCTGAGCCCCCAGCCAGTGGCAGAGGAAGAAGGTGAATGTGGTAGGTGTGGGGATGTCGGGAGGAGAATGGGGGGACAGGTGGAGTGGAGGATGGGGGTGAGTGAGCAGGAACTGGCACACGCCCTATTGGCCCAGATCACCATGCTGGAGAAGCAGTTGCAGAAGGCCCATGGGAGCTGCAGTTCCCCCAGCAGGAGGGGGCTGCGGGGCAGCAGCGGGCGGAGGGATGTCCCAGCTGATAGCAGCTGGAGGTGCCTATCAAGGCAGACATGGTCAAGGTGATCCAGGTGCAGTGGGAGCCAGAGAATGCCGCCAGAATGGCCATGGGTGTGGTCCACCGGCCCCAGTGGGTGTAGAGCCTGGATACCAAGGAGCCCTACTCCACTCTCCTGTGGCCTGAAGCTGGGGGAGCTGGGGATGCTTGGTAGTGGAGATGGCCTTCCCTGTCCATGCCGCCATGCTCTATGCCACCCCCTTCCATGGTGTCAAGAAGATCAGCATCATGGCCGAACACCATGGGGAGGATACGGGCCCTAGCAGCAGAGCCTCGCCAGATAGGGCCCAGTGCAGGGGTGAGGGTGGGGCGCCCCATGGCTTTCCTCCCCCATCAGGCTAGGGAGCTCCTTGCTCCCTCATCAGTCTGGCGTGGGAATTATTGGGGAGCAGAGCTAATTGGAGGGGAAAGGCCTCCTTTCCGTGACCTCCGTGACATAATCATAGCCGTATCCATGAGCAAACTCCTACCCCAGAATATATTGGGCAGTGTCCTTTGCCTCAGTTTCTCCCCTTGTGGTGTGAAAGTCCAATAAATTCTCCTTTAACCTGCCTTTGCCCTTTCCCTCCCCTATACCCCACTCACAGTTGCTGTCCTTGGTCGGCGAAGGCCCAGAGTTATGAGCGTTCACGTGAGTTCAACTCCCACTGGAGGGGTGGGAGGTATGGAGATGGCGTCAAAAAATGCCTCGGCTCCTGCTGCCACAACCACATATACAACTGAAGTCTGGCCTGAACTACAGACCTATATCGGTATTGTGACGTTGCACTCCATATGTTTATGGAAATATGCTTATGAGTGTAAATATAATGTTACTGGAATATGCTTCATGCGAAAGGTCTCTTGTATCATTACAAAGCTTATAATCTACTGAATGTGTTCATCCTATTTGTATGAATGTAACAATCCTGTATCTGAAGCTAGAAATATGAAGTATTACTCTGAAGTCCTATTGTAACTATGCAAAGTGTGGGCCATTAATGGTGACTCCCATTAATGAGGTTGTGAATGGCTCTGTTTACTCACAAACCTTCCTCGGTATGTGCAGGCCAGCCCTGAAAGAATGGAGAATGAGGTCTTACAGTGACATGTGATCATGTCACTGGTACTGGAATCCATCTTAAACCTGGTGTTTTTCCATTTAGAAGGAAGGGTGGGGACCCAGAGAGACAAAAGATTCTCGCCTTGTGCCAAAGCTATAAAAGGGGATGGAACAGAACAAAGGGGGCTGCCAGTCATGAGAAGTCCCCCAGTTACCACATGAGCTGGAACTAACAAGGACTATACCAGGGGAAAGGATTGGGCCCAGACTAGAAAGGAGTCTAGTCTGTGAAAGAAGCTTATTGGAATATTGCTGATGGTGAGATTTACCTGTATTCAGTTTCCTAATGTATTAGGTAAAGACTTGCGTGTTTTGATTTATTTTGCTTGGTAACTTACTTTGTTCTGTCAGTTATTATTTAAAACAAATTAAATCCTACTTTTTATACTTAATAAAATCACTTTTGTTTATTAATGAACCCAGAGTAAGTGATTAAAACCTGGGGGAGCAAAGAGCTGTGAATATCTCTCTATCAGTGTTAAGGAGGGCAGACAATTTATGAATTTACCCTGTTTAAGCTTTATACCAAGTAAAATGGATTTATTGGGGGTTTGGATCCCATTGAGAGTTGGGTGTCTGGGTGCTGAAGACAGGAGTACTTGCTGAGCTGTTTTCAGTTAAGTCTACAGCTTTGGGGACGTGGCTCAGACGCTGGATTTGTGTTGCAAGCAGGCTAGTGTGTCTGGCTCAACAAGAAAGGGTTCTGCAGTCCCAAGCTGGCAGGGAAAACAGGCTTAGAGGCATAGCTCAGTGGTTTGAGCATTGGCCTGCTAAATCCAGGGTTGTGAGTTCAATCCTTGAGGGGGCCATTTAGGGAACTGGGGTAAAAATCTGTCTGGTGATTGGTCCTGCTTTAAGCAGGGGGTTGGACTAGATGACCTCCTGAGGTCCCTTCCAACCCTGATATTCTATGATTTCAGCACATCAGGTGACAGTCCCAAGGAGGTCTCTGTGACCAAACCCATCACAGGTTGTCATAACTATAAAGGGAAGGGTAACAGCTGTCCTGTGTACAGTACTATAAAATCCCTCCTGGCCAGAGACTCCAAAATCCTTTTCCCTGTAAAGGGTTAAGAAGCTCAGGTAACCTGGCTGGCATCTGACCTAAAGGACCAATAAGGGGACAAGATACTTTCAAATCTTGGGGGGGGGGAAGGCTTTTGTTTGTGTTCTTTGTTTTGTGAGGTGTTTGCTCTCGGGACTGAGAGGGACCAGACATCAATCCAGGTTCTCCACATCTTTCTAAACAAGTCTCTCCTATTTCAAACTTGTAAGTAAATAGCCAGGCAAGGCGTGTTAGTTTTCCTTTGTTTTCTCAACTTGTAAATGTACCTTTTATAGAGTGTTTATCTTTGTTTGCTGTACTTTGAACCTTATAACTATACGGAAGTCTTCTCTGATCTTAAAGTTTAATTCCCCTGTTTAATTATTTCCATT